TTGTCCTATAGAAGGGCCCACGTGGCACCCTTGTGGTATCCTTATCCTGTTCCCCCTTTCTCACCCCCCTACACCCAGAGGCTCCATTATATTGTTTTGGTTAAAGTTGCTAAGCTCTTAAAACAACTTTAAATGGCCCCTGCAAAGATCATGACTATGTAAAGAATCTAAACCATTCTTAAGAGCCTAATGAAATGTCAGGATAAGTGGTTGTTCAAACCTCGCCCAAGAGGGGCAATAAAAATAAAACCCTGTTATTGCATCGGAGTGGATTCTTCTGAGGCCTTGGGAGATGAAGTACAAAGTGCTGGGAGCCTCGGAGCCAAGTGGAGGGGGAAAGAGATTTCACTCCATGTTTACTTAGCTCACAGAGAAACGTGACTCAGGGAAACAGAATTTGGGGTTCCTATAACAAACACCATAATAGGGGAAGGATAGGAGAAAAGGGCACTTACTGCAAGTCACTTGACTTAGAGAAGATAAATGGACCCTTGGGAATATAGATGGGAGGTCTGATAGTTTGTGACAATGTCTATTTAGGTGATTTCTTATCCCAGTGTCAAATTCTTAACTTCAGTGACAGGAGTTCATCTTCTGTGGTTGCAAAATTCCTGGAGAGGGGATCTGTGAGCACTGAGTTCCTTTGGGAATCTCTGCTTCCAGGTAGCTATGGATGGTTCAGGAAGAAAGACTCTTCAGAGTGGTATTGTTTGGACCTCTTCATTTGCCTCATCTGAAACTTGCCTACAAGTTTTACAGATAAGGAGCCAAGTGATTTGATTGCTCCATATCTCATGGAACATGTCTCCCTGTCTTGGGAAAGGTCAGAGTAGCTGCACAGCAGGCAGAGAGGCAGGTGGGAGCAGCAGAATCCCTGCAGTCACTCTCCATGTGGTGCAAGCAATCAGGCCTGCAATGAAAGGCATCGGTGGAAGTCAAAGAAAAAGAAAGATGAATGGTTGGAGCAGACTGTAAACCCATTTGTTCAAAGTCCAGAGTGCAACTTCTCCAGAAGATTTCTACACATTGGACTCTTTAAGTGTGCTCAGACGATAAAATTAGGATGCCAGTGGTAATGTCGCAAGAACAATTATTTCCTGGAGCAGAGCACAGGAGAAAAGGTGTTCTGGTGAACTTTCTGAATGGTCCAAACTATGTGATAAATCATTTGAAGTTATATGAAGTTGTACAGCTTCAGCTTCCAGGGTTTGGGGGAAAGGGCAGTTCTAGTTCTCAGTGATGGGAGAAAAAAAAATGGAAACATGAATTACTGACAAACTGGGTAAGATGGCAAGATCCCATTTACAGAGTCCAAAATCGCTCAGACAATGAACAGGACTAGAGTCTGATGTTATGCAAGGTGAGTTTTCCACTGAACATTTCTCTCTACAATTGCTCCCATTTTGATCCAAGACAATCAAAGTAAGTCTAGCCTTATTAAATTTGCATAAGTGCCACAAAATGGTAATTATCCACACAAGTCTTTTAAAGTTTGCTTCTACTGGAATCTCAGGACTTTTTTAAGAGCCTCTTGAGGATAGGAAGCCAAAGCCCAGAACTTGCCTTCACACTTACCTTGTAATTATCTGTAGATTTAGGTGAATTCCTCTCTTCTTGAGGTCCTTAAAATAATCCTAAATTTTCTTAAACTTCCCAGAAATGACCTTCATTACTCATCTGGAAGGCTGAGAACCCTGTAATGCAAGCGCCTGGCTGGTTTTTTAGAGAGGGCTTTGTAAGCATTGGCTCCAGAAACTCTGTTCCTTAAAACAGGTCGTATTTGACTCCCTGCACATCATCCTCAAATATGGCAATGCAGTTAAAGCTGTGGCAATACAACAGATGTCTCCAATTATGTTCTCCTGGAAGAAGAACAAATTTTGATTGAACTTACGCAAATAACTATATAGCCATGAAAATAAGAATATTCGGTAACTAAGTCTCTGAATTCTGGAGGGATCAAGTAGAGAAAAAAAGCTGTAGGTTTTAGTTCTGTTTACAGAAATACAATCTACTCAACTGCTGTAAGTAATAGACGGCTTAAGAAAAACAGAGAAGGAGCTTCCTTACATCCACAAAATACAATATCCAAGACCCAACAATGCTCCCAACAAAGGGGCCATAAAATTATAATCATTCTTCATCTGTTTATTTAGACCCATGGAATTAATTTTTGCTGTGTCTTGGACTTGGGTTTGCAGTTTTATGAACCCATTAACTTGTCCATTATTTCTGGAAATCCTACCTCAGTCTGATGGTTGGATCTTAAAGATACTTAGGCAATGTCATCGGAAGACTGTACATCTGTGTGCCTGTCATACTCCCTGCCATGGGTTTCTGAGACTTTCCGTGTTGTTGAAGATGAGTTCCTTTGGCCTATGGTGATCGCAAGAGCGTCCTGGAGGGCATCAGGGTAAACGGACAATCTGTGAATGACTCAAGGATTAAATCCATCCATAGTTAAAGATATGACGAGCATTCATTACAAGGTAAAGAAGAGGGAAATCTGGTTGTCTCTGTGAAACAAGACTTTTAAAGATAATAAATGGAATTATGAGCAATAACATTATACCAGGACAGCAAGAGCATTGACAGATTTCTAGGAACCTTCTATAGTTTCTGAAATACTTATATTAATAACATATATCCAGACAAATAGAGGGAAGGTGAAGTATCTCTTCGGATTTGACGATGCTTCCTTTGCATCTTAAAATAGAAAATACACCTCCTTAGTTTAACTTCCTTCTTTTGGCAAGGTGACAGAACATATCCTTAGAGATTTTTCAGGAGGCTTCTGGATCTCAAACTCAGTTTGAGGCCAAGAAAACTTTATTTAAAATTTGATTTAGGGAAGTTGTCAAAATGTTAAAAGGCATGAGCCCTTGGTTAGGCAGGGTCTTAGTCACTGTTTCTTAAAATAAAGAATTGGTTCTCTTAAAAAAAAAAAAAAGGCATGAAAACTCTCCTGATGAGACATAGAATCTTTGCCTCCTGGGCAGATCATTCAAAGGTCTCCAAATAAGAGCAAGTTGATAGTCCAAGAAACTTAATCATTTTAAGAGAGAGAATGCCAAGCTCAGTCTTTCATTGAAGAGCTTCTCATATTAAAATTAATTTTAAAAACATATGATAACTCCATTCAGTCTTAGCTTAGCACATGAAATAAGCCATGAGCTGGACTGACAAGAGTTTATAGCCAAAGAAAAGAGATTTTTTTATTCAAGTACCTAAGTGGCAGTTCACAGAAAAATGTGACTCAAGGAGGTGGTTAGTTCTTGTGTCTTCTTGTTAGTTGGGACTCTCCAAAGAACCAGGCAATAGAATATGGTAATAGGTATAGAGATGGAGAAGATAGATTTATTTTGAGTAATTGGCTCATGTGATCATGGAGGCTGAAAAGTCTGCTATCTGGAAGTTGGTAACCCAGGAAAGTCAAAGGTAATTCAGGCTGAGTCCCAGAGTCTCTCTCTCTTGGATTTTTTTGTTTGTTTGTTTGTTTTGGCTCTTTTGGTACTAGTTTGGACTTAGTTCATTCCTGCTGATACAACAAAATACCTGAGATGGGGTAATTTATAAATAACAGAAATTTATTCCCCCACAGGCTTGAAAGCCCAAGATCAAGGCATCAGCAGGTTCAGTGTCTGGTGAGGGCCTGCACTGGCTTCCAAGATGGTGCCTTGGGTGCTGTGTCTTCCTCTGGAGGAAGGGAATGAAGGGCCCTGCTATAAAATCTCTAATCCCATCCATGAGAGTGGAGCCCTTATGGCCCAAGCACTTCCTAAAGGCTTCGACTAGTTTTAAAAAATATTTATAGGGGGCCGGAGTTGTGGCTCAGTGAGCAGAGCACTTGCCTAGCATGCATGAGGCACTGAGTTTGATCCCAGGTACCACATAAAAATATGCAAATAAAATAAAGGTACTGTATCCATCTACAACTAAAAAAATTTAAAAAAAATATTTTTAGGTGCAGATGGATACCATACCTCTATTTCATTCATTCATTTTTTATGTGGTACTGAGGATCGAACCCAGTGCCTCACTTGAGCTAAGGCAAGCGCTCTTGCACTGAGCTACAACCTCAGCCCAAGACTCCACCTCTTAATACCACTGCACTGGTGACTGATCTTCATCATAAATTTTGGAAGGGACACAAATATTGCAATCAGAGCCGCAGGGTAGCCAATGGTGGAAAGGAAAAGTTGTCCTTCTTTCAGCTTTTGTTCTGTTCAGGCCTTCAGTGGATTGGATGATGTCCACTCACATCAGGGAGAACGTCTATCCCAATGTTAATCTCATCTGAAAACACAGTGACATACCCAGAAATCATGTGTAGCCAGGTATCTTTGCATCTGTAACCCGGTCAAGTTGATACATAAAATTAACCATCACAGGACATATATCTCTCTTAACAGGGGAAGGAAAAGGGGAAGAAGAACATCTATTAGGGAATGAATGACTCTTAGCAAAGATAAACAGACCCCTAGGAGAATAGATGGGAGATTTGATGGTTTTGTGACAACATGTGGTTGGATGATTTCTAAACCTGTTGCCATCCCTGCTGATAAGGATGAATCTTCCCTAGTTGCAAAATTCTTGAGAGGGGATTTTGATGGTTGAATTCTTTTCAGATGTTCTTTTGTTGGGACAGATAAGAGAGTTCAGAAGAAAGAGTCTTCAAAATAATATATATTGTGGTTCTCTTTGCCCTTTTCTTTTTCTCCATTCACTCTTTTTTGTGTGTGTGTGTGACTCTTGGTACTAAGGGTTGAACCCAGGGGCACTTAACCACTGAGCCACACCCCCAGCCCTTTTTTGTTTTATTTTGAGACAGGTCTCATTAAATTGCTTAGGGCCTCCCTAAGTTGCCAAGGCTAGCTTTGAACTCGTGATCCTCCTGTCTCAGTCTCCAGAGTCAATGGGATTACAGGTGACACATCTGGCTCCATTTGCTCTTACTCATAACCCAATAAAGGTTTTTTCCTTTTTTTCTTATTTTACAGGTTGGGAAACTAAGGCTTGGCAGCACTAAGGAATTTACATGAAGTCACAAAGCTAGGAAGTGGGGTGCGGGCTTGTGTCTTGGCCTCCTGTGACTGTGGGTTCACCTTCCTACCAGGCTGGTTTGCAAATGGGTATGGACAGCCCGAGGATCCAACCAATCCTTCCTAGGCTGTACAGTTTTAATCCTAGTGAGTAGTATTTCTTTATAAAAACAAGTATGGATAATTTGTGGAGGAGAATGCAACATGTACAAGAATTTTAAAGAAATTTTCCCATGGTTGAGCCTGTGTTTGGTTCATGGATGATCATCTTGTATTCTTCTTACTTATCCTAATTCCAACATATCACTATTTGTAATTCTCCATTTTGGAAGAAAAGTTCCAAAATATCAGAAATACCACTTCTTACAAGCTGTGTGACCTTGGGCAAGTTACTTAATATCTCTGAATCTTAGTTTCCTTATCTGCAACATGCAGAAAAACATAGGATTGCTTTGAATGAGATAGAAACCATTCACCTAAAGCCCTTAATTTAATTTTTGGCTTTAGGTAGCTCATTCTTATTTCCTGGCCTCTTTCCCCACCCCACCCCATCCCCAGGGCAGAGGACCGAACTCAGTGCCTTGCACGTGCCAGGCAAGCACTCTGCCACTGAGCTACATCCCCAACCCCTCATTCTTATTTAAGTGCTTTTATTCTACACCCCATACCTGCAATTAGAATTAGAAGAAGATAACAATCATTTCTTGAGTAGTAATAAAAGTAGCAACAGTATTATAAAAAAATTCCTCAGCTTTTGCTCATCTTCCTCACACACAAGCAACTGTACCATCCAAACCACAGGTTCACCAGGGCCAAAGGGGGTTCAGTTTCCAGTTCTACATGTGACTCTGACATTGGGGGACAAAGCACAAGGGTTGGGAGTATTCACCAGCTCTAAAGAAGCCTGGGTCGGAGGCCAACTCCTCTGCTGTGTGACCTGAGTGATTCTCTTAACTCTAATCCATTGCCAGACTCCAAATCCCTTCTCTCCTAAATACTTTGCCAATCTATCCATTTCTCTGCATCCCACTGCCCTCCCCGCTACAATCCATCATCACCTAATGGTCTTCTTCCTTCTGATCTTGTTTTCATCATTTAGCATGATCAACTTTGGGAGTGAAAGAAAATCCAAAACGGCAAGGCTTAAACACAATTAAGAAGCCCCTCCCCTCCAATATAAAAAGGTAGGTAGCTCACTGAGAACCCATTAAAATATCTAAAATTCAAAAGACTGACAATACTATTGAGGGGTGAGGATGTGGTGCAACTGGCACTCTTGTTCAGTGCCTGTGGGAGTGGAGAACTCTTACGTTGTTTAACAGACATATGTGTATATTGTTATATTCTATCAATTACTGAGCCAGTTATTCTCAGGTATTTACCTATAAAAATAAAACATATGTCTACACAAAGCTGTACATAGCTTTGTTCACAATACCCCCAAACAGTAAAGAACCCAAATACCCATCTACTGGTGAGTGGATTGAACAAACTGTGGTTATCTAGGCAACTGGGTAAGAGTACAATAAAAAGAAATTTAAAAATCTGACGGGGCCCAGGGTTGGTAAAGCATCCCACAAGGTCGGGATCGTGGAAGACAGTAAAGAGCGCCCTAGCTCCCTCCTGCCCGAGGCCTTAGAAGCCCGCCCACCTGACAACTCTGCTTACCTGCCATTGGCCATGATTTAGTCAGGAGCAGGACCTAGTTGCAAAGAAGGATGGGAATTGTAGTCCTTGCCCTGGATGGCTTCCCCAGAGGGGCAAATTTCATGACTATGGAAGAAGATGGAGATTTGTCTTGCCTCTTGCATCTGGTTTGAAGATAAGCGTCTGATCATATTGTTTTCTCTGCTCAGAGCTCTTCTGTGGTTTCAGTTGCTCTCCAAACCTGTCCAATCTGGCCTCCGTTCCTTCTGCACCTCTATTTGGACCTTCTGCCAGCATTTAGTGCCCTTAGCTCCCCGCAGGCCAGCAGGGTGGTTCTGCTTCCCTCTGCTTGGAATTCCTCCCCTCCCTTCTGCCTGTCAACCGCTCTTCTGCTCTCAGGTCATCCCGACTCTTTGGCCTGAGACAGATTCCTTTCCTTGTTTTGTTTTGTTTTAGATTTACCTTTTCTGCATGGCACTCCCTACGGTTTGTAATTTTATATTTGTGTGACAGTTTGACTAAGAGCTTTCTCACAGGATAGATTCATCTTTTTGTCCACCTTAGTGTAGCAGAACCGCACGAGGCAGCCAGGCAGCAGGAGCTAGAGGAGCCTTTGTTGAGTGAGGGAGGCAGAGAGCGAGCTCTGTGTAGCACTGCTTATTGAACTGAGGTTGCCAAGGCGCAGCTCCCCGTTCCCCCAGCCCTGGCCGCAAATACCGAACTCACTGTGGTCACCCTTAGGCGTCAGTTTTTAAAATGCTTCATAGGATTTCATTTGATCATATTTGCCTTCTACTCCGAATGTCCACTTAAGTCACCATCTGTGGACTGAACAGAGATCTTTGTAAGAATGGTACCTGTTTGAGAGCCAGGCATGGTTCTCAAAGTAATTTCATTTACTCTGGAGGCTGAGGAAGGAGGATCAAAAGTTCGAGGACAGCCTGGGCAACTTCTCTAGACCCTGTTTCAGATTTAATCATCATCATCATCATCATCATCATCATCTGGGGATGTAGCTTAGTGGTAGAGCATTCTTGGGTTCAATCCCCAGTACTGAGAGAGAGAGAGAGAGAGAGAGAGAGAGAGAGAGAGAGAGAGACAAAGAGAGTTAGCTTGAGTGTTGGATGGGTAATGTGAAATGAATTTATGGAAATAAAAGTCACCGTCTAGTTCCTTAATTCCTGTTCTCCTGTTTCCCTGTGGGAGGAGTCAAAAGCATTCAGGTAGGGCAGCAGCACATGAGGACATATATCCATTGTTCATTGAACTGCTGAGGCCAGGTGACATTGATATACAAATTGTTCTCAAGTATGTGGCATTGATGTAGGATGCAGGAATGATGTGGCCTACTAACATGGGTGTTTTGACAGAAAATTGTGGGATATCAGTAAATTCAAAACACTAGGCTCTCTGTAGTACAACTCATGATTTGCCAATTATATCATAAGAAAAAGTGAAAAAACACATTCTTTCTAAATATTTCTTTCTTTGAGATTTCCTGGATTCATGGATATTTACCTCTGCGATTTCTATTAGGAGGTCCCTTCTTGTAATTGTGCAGTGGGCATCCTCTGATTTCCTGTGGGTAAGCCTCAAGACATAGTCAAAGAAAGAGACAGAGTCGAGATAGAAACTGGAAGGGGCAGCAGAAGCCAGCAGAGGCCAGCAGAGCCCGGGAGGAAGGGAACGAGACAGCACCTGCAGACCCTCCTCCTCCTGGCCATTCAGGGAGCTGTGTGGGCTCAGCACATCCTGCAACAGGCTCATGTTTTGTCACCATCACCACTTGGCGAAATCTGCCGACCAACCAGCACTGTTTGCTTAATGAGGAAGATTGCATTTTTCAAACTTAAGCTTATTTAAAAAGGAAAACTAGATTAACTGTAAAAGAAAATGCATAATGCCAGCTGCAGCAGAACGGGGCATTTTCTGCTTTGCTCTCTATTGTAGTCTCTATTGTATGCCTAATAGAGTGCCTGGCAGAGACTCAAGGAATGTTTGTTGAATGAATAAACATCATTATTAGTCATAGAGATATGGCTATTTTTCTAAGTTTTAAATCTGTACCTTTCACAAATAATGGAAAACGTCCTTCTACTGCCCATGTAGAGGCCACTTGCCTGCCAGCATGCTTTACCAAGTTGTATGACTGTCATCACTGCAGAATGAGCTCATTTCATTGTTTATTGTCTTTCTTGCTCCCTGGATGCTGAGGTACTTCTGACCTTTAGCAGTGTGTCCACCTCTGATTCCCTATCACCTAATGCGGTGTGGGGCCCATAGCAGGTCTGCAGCAGACATCTAAAACTCAGTGAGTGGCATGCCTACCTTAATCTTTATAGTCATCCTAGCATGTGAATTGTTATCTCCATTGTCTTATAAATGAAGAAGAAATGGAGACCCTGAGGATTTAAGTGGCTTGACAAGGTTCCAGAGCTTATGGTTAATGGAGTCAACTTTAAAGGCAGGCAGTCTAGCTCAGGAGTCCCCCTTTATATGTATTTTACTGGGTTAAATTGTAATCTCTGCTCCAGCCAAGTCACCAAACATGTCAATTTAGATAGATCATCAATGAAAAAGCAACAACTGTTTTCAACATTATTGGAGTGCGTTACACCAGCCATAAGTCTGAATGTTGATTTTCCCCAAAATTCATATGTTGAAAGTCATATTTTTTCCTCACAAGCTAAGAGGCTTCTAAAGCTCCAGACATCATGTCCACATTCCAGCATTTTGCACATAGAACTTTCCTTTAAGTCCCACTTGTCAGATGGCCACACCTAGCCACTAGTGAGTCTGAAAAATATAGTCCTCTCTGGGCAAATATATTAAACATTTTGTTAAAAATGAAGAATGGGAGAGATCTAGTGGTTTCTACCACAGCCTAGCATTGAAAGTCTTTTTCAAGCAAGTTTAGCCTAGCTCTCAAGGGTTCCTTCACCTACTTGCAGTTCTGAATTCCGTCCCCCTGGACCTTCTTTACTCACTGATCTTGAAACATGCCTGGTACCTGCCACCTGCTCTCCATGCCCTGGGCCCCCTGGAACGCGTCCATCCAAGTTCCCTGGTGAGTCTAAGAGGTTCTCCCTGACTCCTCCTTCCCACACTGAGCTCCTATGGTGAGGAGCCTGGATGTGATTCCTGAGATCCTCACACTCCCCAGCCTTGGGTTGCTCTTTTTTGAATGACCTGAGCAGCTTAACTCTTTCACTGTTAGTTTTTTACTCACTGAAGCCCTATCCTCAGTCCTGCTCTGGTTCCAGCTTCCCTGAGGACTGAGCCCCTTCCTCAATGAACACTTATTGGCCTCCTGTCTCACTTCCGGCTGGCATTGCACTCTTTTGTGTTGGGGACTTCATACTACAAAAGACGCAAGACCTCTCCTCAAAACCTGATTTCCCATAGCATCTGGATTTAAAGCTTGTGCCTGTCACTAAATACTCCATCAATTTCAGTTGCTTTATTGAGGAATAAAAGCTGACATTTATTTAAATAATTATTACTTACATTCATAACATTTATTAAGTTTTGACTGTGTGAGACGCTGTGCTAGACTTTTCCTTTCTTTCTTTCTTTCAACAGCTATGAGGCAGGCACTGTTGATTTTTACAGTTCCAGAAGAGGCACAGAGAAGAGAAGTTACTTGACTAATGTCACCTAAGCTACTAAGGGGTGGAGCCAGGATTCAAGCCAGGGAACTTGATTCCGGAGCCCAGGCTCTTAGTCACTATATTAAAAGGGGGACTGGAGGCTGGGCACCCTGGCACACGCCTGTAATCCCAGGGGCTCGGGAAGCTGAGGCAGGAGGTGCCACAGTCTGGCTGGGCACAAAATCACCAGCCACTCAAGCAGGAACAAACTTTATTTCCAAAACTTCCATGAATGCCACGCACGTGGCCTTCTCCCCAACCAATAGGAACTCTCCGGGAGTGAGAGAGCTCCAAAGTAGCAGGCCCAGGCGGATAGCAGGGGTCTAATCTCCAATTGAATGCACATCTTAACATAATCATTATCATCTCAATGGCTTGCTGGCCTCACCTTTCAACCAAAAATGCCAAGCGTCATTCCTACTTGGCTATGACTCTCAGCAAGGGGGATTGCGAGTTCAAAGCCAGCCTTAGCAAAGTGGGGCTCCAAGCAACCCAGTGAGACTCTGTCACTAAATAAAATACAAAATAGGCCTGGGGAGTGCCCCTGAGTTCAATCCCCAGTACCTCTCCCAAAAAGGGCAATTGGAAAGCAGGGCTAGTCTCTTGATTCCAAGATGTACTGGCAACATGGACTGTGCTGCCACCCAGCCCCAACAGGAAGCTTTGCTGGGCTGAGATGCCCTTGTGTCTGGAATGCCCTTGACCTGGGCACTGCCACCCTGTCACTCCCCATCCGAGTCTCAGCTGCCACTCTTCCCCTGCCTTCCCTTTTGAGGATCAAATCCACTTGGAAGTGATAAAAAACCAATTTGCTGCCTCTGTGTCCCGTGGAGGCTGTGTCACTTGATCTCCTCTGGGGTGGCCACAGGGTGGAGTGACTGAGCCAA